AGAGTAACCGCGGATGTGGGGTATTGTACCTTACTGCAGATTATGAGCAATAATAAATGGCATACATATGACACATGTTTGTACTTGAAATGACTATTGATTCGACGAGGTGAGAAGATATTTTCCGACTGGATTACTATCCGAATAAGCGTCTTCATGGCTCGACTGATTCAATGATCCACGCTAGTTATTCTAGAGTTTTTCCGTGGAATGCTGCAAACATCCAAAGTCCATTCCACCACAGCAGATTATGGTTTCCGATATCCTATGGATGATCATCATAAACGATCTGGTAGTACCCAAGATCGGGGTACTACAGAATGTAGAGTTTTAGAGCGGAACACAAGACTCACATATGTAAGCCATTTCACTGGCAATTTATGTATCCAATTCTGCTATGCGCCTCTGCCATGTATGGACCATGGTACGCCGGCGATTTAAGTTGCGGGTATGGCCGGAAGACCAACTGAACCATGGAACCACTAGTATAGTTTGGTGAACTGTACTTAATGGCCACTGCCAGTTGTCACTCCCCACCTCGCAAATCTATGGAGATGTGAATCTAAGATGATCAATGTTAGATGCACCAGTACTATCCTCTTTATTGATTCCTTCTGACGAACCCATCAAGAAGCACAACACTATTAAGTGGATTACATATACATAGGCATGGCAGGAATGAGCTTCCTGTTACACTACATTAGCCATATTAAATAGTTCGTCTAGCCACACAATACCTTAGCAGCGCCTGGTATCCAATAACCTGAAACTTGTACACAGCATCCGAAGCTACCAATCAACGCCTGTCGCCTGTCCCCCGCCGAATTAAGTACCAAGTATAGACCTAACCGCACAGAGTCAGCATCATGCAGTAGCCGCAGGCTAACTTACTCAATATATCCCTGTTCCTGCTCGCCGACTGGCCGAGAAGCAATAAGTTGGTACTCCGGGATGTGGGACATGCATGCATTTAACTCAGGATGATTTGCCACAATTTATCCGCCGAATGTGCCGACTGCAGATAATTCTGAATGAAGCGTTGGGGAAGCCGGGAAGCTATATAGAGTAGGGATCGTTCTTTTCAAATGGAGTGCAGAGTAGATACCGTGGATCTAGATAAGTCTATCAGTTACCTGTCAACAATACTAGATACCAAATTTACACTTGGAATATGAGGACCTTTGAGATTGACGCTGTAGATGACTGCTACCGATCCCATTTACGGCGACATTCCACCAGCACGGGCTAGTCCCTTGTACATTTTGCTGGGGTCTCTACGGCCTTGCCTCGTCACGGGTCGATGTATAGGCGCTCTTCTGGCGTTCCGCCACCGCTTGAATAACATCTCCCACCTTGTGTTGATTACTGTGGGGCAAATGCGGGGGCCAAATTTGACGTTGCCGGCATGCATTGTTTCGGCGAATTCGGCTGTGCCAGTTCGAATCTTCTCAGCAGTGTCTTCGGAGCAGCCCAATGGCCAATTTCGAGTACCCATACGACATAAATAAGTATGCATAGCTGAATTCAACCTGTACACCCTTTCTGCAGAGCGTCTGGGGGAGAACCGTTAAACATTCTGGTGAAACCCCGAGACTACATAGCGAACGCCCGGCCGTATGGGCTTGATTTGCTCTGACATAGCCTCCCGTTTTTGCGGGCGAATTTGCTGTCCATGCAAAGCCATAGCTATGAGCACGTCCGCTGGTACTTCCGCGAACCATGTACCTCTGAGTAGGTCGTTGACGCCTCCAAGGAAGTTGCTTGCTTCAGCGTCCATGTCGAACTTAGCAAATAGGATGTATAAGTCGTCCATCAACTGTTTGGTGGGATTTTGACGGGTTTGGACCAGCATCGTCATGAGACGCGGCTGGGTTCAAAGAGAACGCGTAGTCTTGTAGTTGCTGAGGGGGTTGTGTAGACATCTTGTGCGAAGCTATGTTCACTGTTGGTCACGTATACGGAAGAGGGCAAACTTTTAGAGGTATTGCGTGTTGACAAACAGCATGTAGTTTAGGAATATAAATTGAAGCCATTACCCGGGGCACTTCTCGCAGAAATCGACTCTCTCACTCACTTCTCTAGATTGACCTCTCCATTGCATAGTACATGAGAGCCAAGTCATAACTGCACATCCATCCTGCACAACCATGTAACTAACCAGGCAGTTGGATAATGTAAGCGGGCCCGGGAGCTCTTGTAGAGAAGGTGGGCTCTTTCTCCATAAGCTCGACTACACACTCATAACAGACTCATAGGGAAGGTGCGCTCTTCAGTGGTGATGACCTAAGGTAATTAAGACACACTAATCAGATATTTAATTACACTATCAATCAATATTACCTAGACTTAGTAAAATTATTAAAGCGAAAAAACTACATTTAGCGGAGCATCCAACCTCGTAACTTTCATCTAAGTACCTTCCATCTTCTGTATACCCCTAATTATCTATTACTGTACTGGATTCCTGTACTCAGAATCTCAGATTAGATGGCTAAGCAAGTGGATCAAAGACAAAAGTCCTCTACAGGAAATTGGCTGAGGACTTCCAGAAACACCATCCTGGGGAACGAGTTCCGGCACTGCTGGCACGGAGATATAACCCGATTGAGGATATTAATGCGATACTGTTTTCTCCTCAATTGAATGATCGACGAGCAGAGTAGGAAAGTCTGTTGAACAAGAACCCTCCACTGCGACGCTCGGATCAAGACCACACAGGTTATGATGAAATCCCCACCAGGTTATGCTTTGAGGTTCCTGGGTTGCTGAAGACCCAGGCAACTTTATCTCTATCTTCATGTTTCATGTGCCTCGAATCGAACATGTTCGTGTTCACCGAGAGAGGTAACATCTTGCAAGAGCCAGCCGGCAACTCGACAAACTGATTCCGGTAGCTGGAGCCCGCACCGGACACATCCCTCGCTGCCAGCTGTCATGGACCCATCGACTATATATGCATGTCACTGGTAGAATCATGGGGATATCCACCTTTCATCAATGCCAGTGTCGCACAGCTCTCAGCCATCGCATAATCATTTAACTATTCTGTTGTATGAGCCTGCAGCCACGGACTCGGTGATGGATTGACTGGACTATGCGAGCATCGACGCAAGGATGATGCTTGGCGATCTTCGACCACCGCAGCCTGGAAGTTTATGCTTGGGATACGTCTCATTGGCGACCTCAGGTCTGTCTATCGCATGGGTTTAAAAAAAGGGCCTGAGCGTTGCAGCTGGTCTCTCTTGTGCCATGCCATTCGGGGATTTACTAAGTAACAGACTTGTTTACTTGTTTACGGGGTGGAGGGTAGGATGTAAGATGTTGTCAGTGTCATACTCTGCGAAGAAGAGTGTATACGAATGTCTGTCATTATCTCATTAAATGTGTATTAACCCGTCAGGCATACCTAGAGGTAGATTTTATACCATCCACTGCAAGTCATCGAGAGTAGTATACCGCCAACAAGTCGATCCTCAACAACCTCAACCCGAAAACCAGGTTCTCAGTGCGACGGACGGACGGGACGGACGGGCTTCCCTGCAAGATCTGAATCTGAATCCTAAACGGGGCCATTCGCTCAATCCTTCTACTACTCACTCTACTAACTAAAATAGTTGTAATTCACGTAGTATCCAAGTTAATTTTCGTGGATGGATCCAGCTCTGCCACTTAGTGTCAGTGTCCCGCGTCCCGCTGTGGTATCATTCATAGTCAAACAGATGGTATGGAGTACGGACTACTAGTTACCTTAGTCCACGGAATATGTCTAGCAATGATCCGGCCGTCCGCCACGCGAGAATTGAGATAGAGCTCGGTCCCCCGTAGTTGATTTTGATAGGCGTCGACTTCGACGCCGAGACATGATGGGCAGAGGCAGCAGTCTATAACGACGCAAGGGATGACAAATTGAGGAAGTTTATCCCTGCTTCCGTCCACTCAGACCGCACGCCTCGAAGGAGCCTTCGTATGAACTAAGCAACCGTGAACGGCCCAAGCATGGCCTTAGCCTCGCGAGTTCCATTGACCCTTCTACGCCGCTGGGTTGAGTTCTGTTTCTCCACACTTTTTTCTCAATACAGATCGAGGTAGATCATTTTGAAAAGAATGTTTCAGAGAATTCAAATGGGCTAATCCGGTCCATGGGTCTCTGTATGTTTCTAAGGACACCCTTATGTGTGCTACTAATGGGTGGATCATGTCTGCTTTGGCGGGGTACTCGAGCTGGTGGCTGGAGTGGTTCGCTACTCTGATCACCGGGTTGCAAACCTGTAATACAGCTTCAAGAAATGAGTAATTGGTTGCTGTTAGTTTTGAAAGGAACAGCGTCCCTCTCTCATCCTAGACAACATCGTTACGTGCCAGTTTAGTTGCATTCTCTGCATGGTCCCTCCCAGCTGCTTCCCTACACCGCTACTCTTGAGTGCATGCACATTGGAACAAACAACTTTTATATGACTATATGCAAACCGAAGGCAATCCCTCTACCTACCACTATAGATACTCTGTACACAGTTTGACTATACTCCGTAATGAACGATCGGAAACAGGGAATCATAACCCCCTCTTGACCTCATCAACTCTATTCTGGTCGCCTCCAGGCCAGACCACTCCCCCTCCGGAGCCGAAATTGACACTAAGGCCGGCTGTAAATCAGGATTCTATCGTAGCGCCTCCAGATCGATGATCGATCACCCTACGGTCTCCAAGAAGACCCCTCTTCAATGCGCACGGACTTTGTTACAGATCAAAGCTGCGACGATGGCTGGCTGTAACGACCCAGAGCTGTGTCCTCGACTTCGCCATGCACCTGCAGAGTACCGGTATGTACTCTCGCTGAAACAGGGCGCTTTCCACAAACCAGGGAAGAGGATAAGGGAAACAGATTTTTCGCCTTCCTTACAGTAGTCTTAGACAGAAAAGGGATCGGCCCGAGCTGGAAGAATCGATCCGGTTCCCCCAGCCAGTCACAATATCAGCATCCTCTTTAGGTGGAAATTAGATTACTGCACAAGCGCTGCTCCATCGCTGTCAAGCAAACCGGCTTCCTTGACCAGCTCATAGAATTTGCCGCCACGCTTGATCAGGTTTGCGGGCGTGTCAAACTCTGCGACCCGCCCCTTGTCCAAGACCACGATTCGATCAGAGTCAATAATTGTATTGATACGGTGCGCAATCGTGATGATTGTGCGTTCCTGGAAGACGCTGCTACGCAGGGTGCGTTGGAGCAGTGCATCCGTCTCCACGTCGACTGCCGCCTGTTACAAGCCGTCAGTAACTTTCACCCTATACAAAAAGAAACGGTGTAGTCAACGGCCACTTACTGTTGCTTCGTCAAGCACAAGGATATTGCTCGGTGTCAGCAACGCCCGCGCCACAGATACCAGCTGACGCTGGCCCTGGCTAAGATTAGATCCTGTCACAATCACGTTAGAACTCGGACTTTTGATTTAAGCAAGGACGTAAGGGTAGGCATGGCGGTGGCAAAAGTGGACTTTACCTCCTTCTTGAATCAGTGTGTCCAGCTGACCGTCCATTTGAGCGACATGCTCCCTGAGTCTGGCATGTTCTATGCAATTACGGTGTCAGTCAATCAATTGCTGGGCATGCAACGAGTCGGGCCCAACGTACCAAGGACACTCCATAGCTCCGTGTCATCATGCACATGCCGGGGGTCCAGATTGTCACGAAGAGTGCCCTCGAACATGGCAGGATCCTGGGGAATAATGGCAAGACGCCCCCGCAGGTCACATAGCCCAATAGTAGAGATATCAAGGCCATCGATACTACAAAAGACGTCAGAAATTGCAAAGACAATTAAATCGGGCAGTTGTTCTCACCTGATGTTGCCACCAGCGGCTTCGATGATCCGGAAGAGCGCCAGAGTCAACGAACTCTTTCCTGCACCTGTACGGCCAACAACGCCTATTTTTTCATGAGGTTTAATGTCAAGGTTGATATCCTTGAGCACTAGATCAAGTCCAGGACGGTACCGCGTGCTGTAGTCCGTGAATGTCACCGCCCCTTGAGCGGGCCATCCGATAGCCGGGCGGTTTTTGAAGATAACATCCGGGGCCTCGCTGGGCAGGCTCGCGTACTCAAGAACCCGCTCAACTGACACAATGTTGGTTTCGACTTCGACAGTTTGTCGAACGATCCAGTTCAAGGACTGAGTGATTTGTAGAGCATAAGACATGGCCAAACCGACCATGCCTGCAGATATACCACTGCCAGTGGCGATCGAGATGATGGAAAGCACCGCGGAAGCCAGAATAATAACCGAACCGATGAATTCCAGACGAACAGCCAACCATCTGTTGGCACTGATGGATGGAAAATAAGCCCGAAGATTCGCATCCATGCGCCATTCGTTTTCAAGAGCAAACCGGTTCTCCTGTCGGTAGCCGCGAATGGTGGAGATGCCGCCGAGCGACTCCTGAAAGTGAGCATAGATCGGGCTCCTAGTGACGCTGTCCAACCGCTTCAATTCACGTGAGGTTCGCAGGTAGTACTTCTGGTACCGCAGGTAAACATAACCTAGAGGGAAAATCATCAGAACGAAGGCAGGAGTCGACATAGCAATCACAACCATCGTAAAAATCGCCTTTGCCGAGTTATTGAACAACTAGCTTTGATGTCAGCAGCGACCAATTGTTAGAGGGCCGGTTTTTCACATACCATGTTGAAAGTACGAGCAAGGACCTCGTCAATCCGATACACATCACTAACCGACATCGTAAGCCTTCAGATCAACAGGTATAGAACTGCAGCCTACCTTGAGAATCGATTCAGGATCCGGCCAGACGGAGTAGTCTCGAAAAAGCTCATAGGAGAGCGGAAAATAGAGAATGCCATGCGTTCATGCAGTTTGCGAGAAGCCTTTTGTCGTATTAGTGTAGTTCTTGACCTTGTGATACGATTCAGGCCATACCTCAATCGAGCAAAAAATCCAGAGAATCAAATTTTGAAGGATAACCAAGATGGAAGACCCGAGACCCCAAGCAAGGTAAACACCAATGAACTTGGCGACGTTCGGGTGAGCCTGCACTTCGCTGGCTTCAGTCCACTTCTTTAGCCAGAAACTACCGGCAACTTGCGCCGTCTGCGCTCCCAGAAGCGCGAGCAGGTAGAAGCAGACGGCGATAACATTGCTGTTCTTGGCATATTCTCCGTAAACGCTCCACTTGACTTTACCCTGCTGCGAAGTTTCCTGCGTCTGCTTACTCTTGAGGACGTTCTCTTCGTCCCCAAACTTACGCCGAACACCGTGCCAACTCGCCGTACTGGCACGCCGTAGCGTGACGGTGCTCGATCTCCGCCGTGTAGTGTCAGCGCCGGACCTGATGGGGAGAAGTGATCCTATTTGCTGCTCAGCTTCCGTATCTGATGGCTCTGACTCTGCATTCTCAAGGACAGTGGTGGATTCCGAGCCTTCAGGACTAGCCAGATCATGGCCGTCACTGCTGGAAGCTTCGTCCTCCGATTCGTTCATGGTTGTGCGTACGAGATTGGACACCTCGCCCTTCATAGCCATCAACTGTTCGTAGGTCCCCTTCTCAATCAAAGTCTTATTTCTTAGGAGAGCAATAAAGTCGGCCTCTTTTAACACAGGAATGGCGTTGGTGGCCAGGATCCTGGTCTTGCCGCTGAGAAGACCATTGCGACCAAGTACCTTGTTGATGAGGTGACGACCGACGTGCTGATCGACCGCTGAAAGCACATCATCGAGCAAGTAGATATCTGCACGGGCGTATACCGCCCGCGCAAGTGTCAAGCGAGCCTTTTGACCACCCGAGAGGGAGATACCCCTCTCACCGACCTCAGTCTGATCGCCATCGGGCAAATTGCGGAAGTCATCAACCAGAGCGCAAGCCTCGATTGTGAGCTCGTAAAACTGAGGATCCCACCGATGTCCGAAAACAATATTTTCACGGACGCTAGCATTCATCACCCATGGTTGTTGCGCGACATAAGCGATACGGCCTCGAACAACAACCTCGCCTTCGGTCTTCCAGAGATCACCCAGCATCGACAGAAGGAAAGAGGATTTACCAGCACCGACTCGACCAACAATGCAACTGAGCTCCCCTTTACGAGCGCTAAAGTCAATGTTCTCAATAACATTGTCGCCTTGGTATCTGTTCCAGGTAAACGCCGCATCGCGTATACGGACGGACTCGTCACCAGCATGAGTCACTGGCTCCTCGAATGTGACCGCATTCGTTTGTAGTTCTTCCGCAGTAAAGTAGTCTGTCAGACGCTTCACAGCCACGGACGCTTCGATGATGGACGTGATAACCATAGGCAGGATTGAGAGCGGGAACGTGAGCAGGTTGAACAGAGTCAAGGCCGGGAACACCACGTCTGTAGTCAAAGGACGATCACTTATCAAGACATAAACACTGAATGTAGAGCACGAGACTAGGAACGGGGTGGACTGCCAGGTGAAGTTAGCAATCGACTGAGTTGCTCCGATCTTGCGAAGAGTGTTCAACTCCAAGTCGTTTCTGATGTGGCTGAGTTTGTTCATGAATGCGGTATTCCAAGCATAAAGCTTTATGCTCTTGATGTTGTTCAGGATCTCAGTCATCAGTCGTGATCTGGAATCCTTGTTCTTCATCTGTATGATCTGAAGCTTTTTCATCATTCGGGCAATTACACCGTTCAACGGGATCATGAGAATCATCACACCGATACCTGCAAACATGCTTACACCGACTAGTTGATAAAGCGACAGCATGCAAAGAACGATTTGGAAAGGAGCGGACCAGAGTTGCATGCCGAACTGGGTCAGGTCAGACAAGCGTTGTTGGTCGACAGCCATATGATTGACAATATCACCTGTGGTCTTGGATGCACGCCCTTCGCTCGAAAGTCTTAGCGACTTGGTGTAGATCATGGCAGTCAAGGCTGACTTGACGCGCATACCGGTATCAAACGCCCTTTGGAAGTATTGGTGCAGACAAATGGTCTGTGTTACCGAGACCAAAAACATCGCCAGCGCGATGGCCACACCACTGATCACGGGTTGAGGTTCATCAGTCTCATATGACTTTATGAATCTGATTAGGAGGCGCAAGAGTTGCGGCTGAACAAAGGCAAGTACGTCGCTTCCGCACTTGATGATTGCGCCGCGCAGGTATGGGCCACCGAACGATTTCATCAACGCCAGCCACAGAGACGGCTTCGACTTTTCCAGCTCTTCCGCCCATTTGTCCTCCAACATGTCCCCTGTGACGCGAGTGGTGTCGCGCTGCCGCAGATTCCACAGATCATCCTGAGTAAGATAGTTCTTGTAACCGAACTTCATCAACGGCGTCATCCAGCTGAAGGTGAGGACTGCAAAGATATCCGCGTACTCGTACGGACATTCATCCTCATCACCCAAGGCATCGTACGCACTCTGCTTTTTTGGCACCAGGTATTCGAGTCCGAATTCCAACAGCGCCAAGCCGAGGCTGACGTTGATGCAAACAAAGTATGGGAGTTGATCCTCATACGCCTTTCGCGAGACCAGCGATCGCAATTTGACGCCGTAAGCGATGGTAAAGAAAAGCCAGTAGAACAGGACAACTCCGTTGGGCTGTCTGCTGCGCCAGTGCTCGTAATATTGTACCGCAAATATCACACCAAGAGACGCGAACACCAGAATGGAACTCCAGAAGCGAAAATCAGCCAAAAAGAGACGAGGAGCGGACTCGGCTTGGATTGCGGCTTGTAGAGCAGTCGTGAAGATCAGGGCGCCCAGCACGATCTATGAGCGAGGAATGCGTATGTTAGATAATGATCGGACTCGGACGGTCAAATCATTCATTCTAAGGAGAAGATCTTACCAGTTTAGCATAAAAATGCCAATTCTTCGACACAGGCTGAGGCGCACGCTTCTTCAATAGGAACCAAATGGCACCTGCTCCCATAAGCAAGCCCCATGCTGCAACCAGAGCTACTCCAAAATCCAGGAAACATGGTGTAAGATCAAATCTGTATTTGCTTATTGGTCCCCAACCCTCGACATCACCACAGAAAGGCTGAAGTTTTTTTGAGGAACTGAAGGGAGAGTCCACAGTCGATGATGGAAGTGGTGCGGAATGGGAATTCCCTAGGATCACCTGGGGGTTGCCATCAAGCATCTTGGTGTCCGGACAAACGACCCAACTCCAAAGTTCCCTGAACCGTCTGGCAACGGGAAAGGAGAGGGAATTGACTGAGATTAAGAACCCAGAAATGCCACTGCTTTCAAATATGAGACTGGTGGGCTTTCTTTGAAGGCGCAAGAAGAATAATTCGAAGCGATAAGAAACTAGCTGCAGCTTGATTACTAAAGGTCCAGGCTTCGCTGCTGCCGGCGTCTCGGAAATAAGGTAGCATCAGTTCGAAGACACCGAGTTGAACTACCTATACTGAATAGTTGAGGCAAGGATACTCTATGGGCACCTCAGAATTGAAGATATGTACAGCTCTATCCCACTCAACAACGTCCAGGTTTCCCAACTAAATAACTATAATACTGTCTGTTGCGATTTGAATAATGACATAACCCTTCGTGCTTAATTCCGAGGAAGAAGGCCGGAACCGTGAGTCAGTTCGGAAAAAGTCTTGGGTCGCTTGGCATGACATTTCTCACCTTTTCCATGACTCCCATCAATAAGAAGGGAGTCAATTTCTGAAGATGAACTCTTGGAGCTTAAGACAGCCGCTGGTATTCTCCGGCTTGGAGGCGAGCATATTCAGAATAGCTACCCCAATCCAACCTGGTTTAAGCTCGCAGCTACCAGGAATGAACACTTGCTCCATATTCCATAAAATCACTTATCTTGAGCAATCCTCGATGATGTAATTATTAGCCTTTCAAGTTGAGGCTTTCCTTGGGATCCACCGATCTTCAATTGTTGTTTGACAATCTCTGTACTGCATGTTAACACAATATGGTGAGGATCAGATTGCAGTCCGACTTTTCATGAAAGATTGCAAGTACGCAGCTCCCGATAATTGACGCAAAGAATCAGATAATGCCATATAATGATTTACTATCAAACATGATGTACGGAGCACGCAACTAATTTCATATATATATATCAAGCACGACTCTTTAATGGAGAAACGGTCGAATGATTCAGTATCCTGGGTCCACCAGTGTCCCAATCACAACTACATAGGACCATGGTGCCTGTATAGTACTCCCATGGGCTACTCAACTCATAGTTTTATTATGTGTACAATGGTCTGGCTATTGCGCGATCATAGCAATTTGCTCGGTCGGTCAAGATTGCCATATCGGGACCCCGCTTGAGGTACATGTAACGACTCCTGCGCTACCCAGCCACTATGACTAAGTCTCGTTTGTGAGTCAAGTAATCAAAGCATAATATGACTGAGCGAGAAATTCTAGAACACTTCCATCAAAAAAAGAAGATTGGGAATCTTCTTAAAATAATGATCCTGGAGCCTGCGTTCTCATAATACAGTGGTAGCCCCACACGAAGGCGGTACCTGCACTTATCACTTTGGAGGGACACACATTTCGCCGCAGTGCTTTTGAGACTCTGCGATCGAACATATACTTGGATAAACCACCTGACAACGCAATGGTGGCAGATACTCCTTTGGTGGAAGAGTTATTGAAAAGACCTCTATATGGTGAGCATCATCTTTTCTTATCGTGTCCTAGATTACGTGTGCGCATAGCTGACCCTCATTAGTATATGATCTTCCTCAGGAACTTCTTTCGACTTTAACCGCCAAGGGCGAGGACCAATCCATAACTGTCGGAGATACTGTCGAACCCTCAAGAGAACCGCTCGATCCGTCGACGCTAGACCCGGTGATCGCTACCTCCACATCTTGCGCACTTTGCAAAGTCTCCTTCTTGAATGTACAAGAACAACGGGAGCACGTTCGGTCGGACCACCACAGATTCAACGTCAAGGCGCAATCTCGAGGCAAGCCTACTTTAGATGAGGCACAATTTGCTAGAGCGGTTGGAGATCTGGATGAGTCGATATCTGGCTCCGAGTCGTCAGAGGAGGAAGACGATGAAGAAGACGGGCAGCTCTCGGCCTTGCTGAAAAGGCAGGCCAGGATAGCCCAGGCAGCTGAAGAGGCGGAGGAGTCAGCAAGCAAGAAGCCGGCAACCAGGAACCCTCTTTACTGGTTTTCAAGCTCTCTGTTACCATCCAACACATCACTCGGTGTCTATAGAGCTTTGTTCTCGAATGACGAACAAGATGAGCCGAAACACCTTGTTGATTCGTTGCGGAAGAAGCAACTATCGCCGCTACCGACACAAAGACCGAATGCACGACCACAAACGAATGGAACCACGCCCAGTCCGCATATCTTCATGTGCATGATAGGAGGTGGCCATTTCGCTGCCATGTTGGTCTCTCTGGCCCCGGAGATTCATCGCAAACAAGGTGGCGTTGAGGAGCGGCAGGCCCGCGTCATCGCGCACAAGTCATTCCACCGCTATACAACGAGACGGAAGCAGGGTGGCTCTCAGTCTGCTAGTGACGCCGCTCGAGGAGCCGCACATTCGGCTGGTTCCAGCCTTCGAAGGTATAACGAGGCTGCTTTGGAGAAGGAGATCAGAGAGCTCCTGAGAGACTGGAAGGAGATGATCGATAGTGCGCAACTGCTGTTCATCCGAGCGACCGGCAATACCAACCGAAAGATCCTACTTGGTCAGTATGAGGGTCAATTTCTAAAACAGAATGATCCCAGAATAAGAGGGTTCCCATTCAGTACTCGTCGAGCCACGCAAGACGAGCTTATGAGATGCTTCAAAGAACTCACTCGCGTCAAAGTAAGCCAGATCGATGAAGCAGCCCTTGCAGCAGCAGAGGCAAAACAAAGGGCAGAAGCTGTCAAGCCTCCAACACCACGGCCGCAGCAGCAAAGGCCCAAAGTGTCGAAGGAGGAGGAGGAAGCTATGTTGCATACATCGCAGATCCAAGCCCTAATTCGACGGTCCAAAGTACCAGCTTTGATGTCCTATCTCTCCAAAAACTCTATACCCTCATCTTTCGCGTTCCGTCCACCAGATTCTTCGCAAAATTTCCGCTGTCCTACTCCCTTGCATTTCGCAGCAAATTTGAACTCCCCGTCGGTAGTCTCGGCCCTCCTTACAAAGGCCGAGGCTGATCCAACGATTGTCAACGGTGAAGGAAGGACTGCTTTCGAGCTTGCTGGTGACCGAGCTACCCGTGATGCATTCCGCGTTGCGCGTCATGAACTGGGAGAGTCCAAATGGAACTGGGACGCAGCCAAGGTCCCAGCGGCGGTATCCAAGGAGGAAGTTGATAGTCGCGCAGAAAGGGAGCGGAAAGCTGCAGAAGAGGAAGAGGCAAAGAGGCGCAAGACCGAATTAGAGCGGTTAAAGAAGGAGGAAGCTGCTAGAGCAGCCTCGCTGCAAGAATCAAGAAAAGCGGGAGGCCGAGCATTAGGAGCGATGGAAAAGACAGCATCTGAAAAGAGGGAAGAAGAAATGAGGGGAATGACACCGGAGATGAGGATGAGACTGGAGCGAGAGCGTCGCGCTAGAGCAGCGGAAGAACGCATTCGAAGAATGCAGGGAAAGTAATCGGTGAGATGTGCCAACGCTTGTTAATCGCAATTTGCGAACATTGATGTCATGTACGAAATAGAATTGAAAGAAACGAAGCTGTAATGGATGATGACTTTTCGACCCGCAGACTTGACCTGTGACTTTAGTACTATTGCACACAACACCTGACTTCTGACGGTGAGGTGCTATGAGCTGCTTAAGACTTCTAGACCTCTTGACAGCGACAAGCCAACCGCCATCATTAGTCTTGCATAATTATAGTCTTCCCCCCGCGCAGCCTCTCTGTATTCCCTGACTACTCTAATCTCTACTTTGTATAATGTCTAGACACCAGCCCTCTTGTCGAGGCTGTTATGTCGGTACACTTCTCGAAGTGGACCCACAGACTGGAACGACAAGCAACCCCTTAACTATATCCAGCAGTAACGAGATATACGTCGGTCGAGACCCGAAGCGATGGTACGGAGACTCTCTTTCTACGAATCCTTCAATGCTAATTGGGATATTAGCCAATACGTCGTACAAGATCCATTCATCTCGAACAGACACCTCCGAATCTACACCATCATCTTTGACCAAGAGAATCCCGACGAAGTCGCACCGTTAGTATACGCTCAAGATATATCGCTGAACGGCACGTCGTGGAACAACTATCCCATGGGAAAGGGAAATGGCAGCTTTCTCCTGAGTGACGGCGATATTCTGCAACTGTCACTAAGTGTCCACCTGTTGTACCGGCGAGACGGTCACAGAGAAGAGGATCACTTTGATGTGCTACAGAGAGTCGAGATGAGGGTGGGCCTTATTTTCTGCTACAGTTTGAACACAAGCTAATTGCGTGTAGGTTTTCGAGGATCAGTACACGGTCACACAGCGAAAATTAGGATCTGGGGCGTATGGGCAGGTGCATATGGCGTTCAACAAAAAGTCTGGTCAGCAATTTGCATGCAAGATCGTTGATCTCCGGACTTTGAAAGATAGGGTTATTGAAGAGTTTGACGGTCGAAGATCCAGGTTCTTTGAGATGGGTACGGATCGCATGGTTGCAGTGCGCGCACACAATGGGTACATCGCAAGGAAAATCCACGAGAGACTCGAACTATATGACCGGGAAGCCAGTATCCTGGCAAGGCTCTGCCACGTACGTTTTACTCGATTCTCATCAGAAAGTCACTAACGGACAATGAAAGCCGAATCTTATTAGAGTCGAAAAGGTGATCCGATCAAGCAATACAATGTAAGACGAGCCTTTGATGAGGCCCAAAGCTGCACTAACTGAAGAAAGATATCTTTTTCAGGACCTCGTGACCGCTGGCGACTTATTTTCGTTCATTCAATACAAAGGTGGAAAGCTTGGTGACATTGAAGCTGCCGTAATTGTGAGACAGGTTCTCATGGCCATGGATTACCTCCATGAACAGAATATTGTTCACAGAGACCTGAAGCCAGACAATATTCTCATGACGTCCCTGGCAGATGGGAGTAGAGTGGTGCTCACTGACTTTGGATGTGCGAGGCTGGTACAGCCACGGATTGAAAGAATGTCCACGAAAATCGGCACGTATGACTATAGTGCTCCGTAAGTGCAACTAGGGTTCCATACTTTGATATACTGACCTTGTCGTAGCGAAGTCCTTCGATCCAGCCGACAAGGCTATACAAAAGCCGTAGATCTGTGGTCCCTAGGTTGCGTGACGACCGTGCTGCTGACTGGGGAGCCGCCTTTCAGCTCTCCATCGCCTGAGCGGAAAGCCAGCCAGGGCAATCAACAGGTTGCCCTCGACAGTCTCGAGGCGAATTTGACCTGCAACAAGATTGGCAAGAGGGCAAAAGACTTTGTTCTTCGTCTCTTGCTGTTCGATGAGACAAAGCGCATGGATGTGAAGCAAGCATTGGGTCATTGTTGGTTCACCAACCCCGCTCATAAAGAGGCATTTGAAGCGCTCTACCAGCGGTCCATTAGGGACTGGAAGCCTCGAGCACCGAAGGAGCCGCTGATGGTCGAGCTCCGCGATCTGATTAAAGCCCGCAAGACGAACGGAGATGTCGTTCAGATTCAATATTCCCAAGAGGATTTGCCAAGCGAGTTTTCCGAATTAGCTCTTCCAAGGGCAAGTGTCGCTCAAGAGACGGTATTAAAGGAATCGCCATCGCTTGAACAACGCAGAGACCTCTCTCCGACACTCTCTGACCCTGACCTACCGCCACACGGCCAACTAGACGACCATCCACATCAACTCCATGATCTGGAAAACAACATTGCGGTGATTGACTCAGAAGCAAGGAAACTAGATTCCCCCAAGCAAAGCCTGGAAACTTCAGAGGAATCTGAAGTACTCAGAGGTGAAATCGAACAGTTCAGCCAATATGAGTGGGCAATCCCATCTATAATCCCGGATTTTTCGAAGGCCAATACTGCAATCTTGAAGAATATCAACTATAGCCCAACAGGAAAGAAACGTGCTCTGAACACTTGGGAGGAGCTCGAGAATGAGGTCTATGAGGAGGTCAGAAATAGTATCACCGGGAAGCGGCAGCATTTGATATATGGCACGAACATTGTCAGAAATTGGATTTGATTCAGATCGGCCAGCGCCGGATGTTGAGAATCTGTCAGTAAGGAGGGGGGTTAGGGAGGCCAAAAGGATGACAAAGATGTTTAAAACTCGGTGAAGTAGGGAACTATCCTGGATGAGATTCCTAGACTATTGATCACAGAAGAATATCTAAAACACACTACAGGTTTGAATCTTCGAAAGATATGGCATTCCAATCCATGCGCTCTGATAACGATGGAAATACAAGTTGGTATCCGCATCTTCAGCGCAACCAACCTAAGATGAGCTATCGATCTTCATCTTCTACGTACTTTCACTTCAAGAGTTACCTCTGAGTGAATACACTATAATGTCATTGTCTTGAAAATGGCGTCCCTCGCCATGCCCTGCTACGTTGAGCGCATCCAAATCACTCATTGACAACGTCCTGTATCGGTCGTCGACGCTTCCAGCCGTCAAAATCCTTAAGCGTATTCGACCTCGAGAAGGGAGCGTTCCCATGTGGACGGACAGACTATGCGATGGAACGGATCTGTCCCAGACACTTTGGAGATGTCTAAGCAATCCTGGCTTGCGATTTGTGATTCATACAATGGTCTTCTTCCGCTCCATCAAGTCATAGGTTGGAAACTGTCTCATATTAAATTCGCCCTGGCCATCAAAGCAATGCTGGTCTTTCTTCCGTTGACAGTAGTCCATGGCCTCACTGCGCGCCGTTTCTCACTTGACGACACTCGTGCCTAAAGCGCTGGGATTGACCTTGAGCTTCTCCAGAGCCTCCTTCACCCAAAAGACACAGTTCCAACCTGGATGGCCCTGCCGATTAGGCGTATTCTGCAGAATTCCGACAAGCAGATTCGCATCCACTACCTTTCCAATCATGATACGAACAAGCAACATGCTAGAAGGGGCAGGTGAACACTCGCTCTCCTCAAAGAACCATTCAGTACCTCCTCTCGCTTTTGGTCTCTCCTTTGCGTGGTAGCGCACACCCAGATTACCCTCTGCTTCGACTTTTGGGCCTACAATCAAGGCCCAGTGGTGTCTAGCTCGGGCAGCATCAGTCTTTGATTGCTACAACGCTGAAGTACCTGCATGATGAACTGACGTGTCTACCTTGCCTGGCATGGTAGGTCTGTCTCGACGTTCATAAAAAGCAACATACAGACAATCTTTGTTAGATGGCATTATGCGGGCCTTCTTGACAAAAGATAGTTGGTTGGATTAGATATTGTTCAAAGGATGTGGGAGTACCGGAGTATTCTTAAACTAGCTTACGAGAGGACTCTTTGAAGGCCTTAATACGCATGTATTCCCCTAGGCGCCCGACTTAGTAGTAGGGTCTGTAGCCGCTGCCTGCCCAATGAGACGTGTGGTAGATTGACTTGAACTCATCTTCTGATCTGCATCACCTCTAAGAGTAAAATCGACTCGGGGGCCGCTTAATGGGTGATGTCATAGCTGAACGTGCGTTCGAGAGCTAGATTCAAGTCTGGAGTACTTTTAAGATTTCTAATTCAGCAACCTGAAGCTAGAAATCATAAAGTACTGTCTACTAACTGTAAACACTGGGCAGGCTAGACCCTCATATCTAGTGGCTCTCGATATAACGGACTTATGCACAGAGAATGAATACGACGGTAACCAATTATACCTGAGATGGAGTACAGAGTAGGTAGTTACTGGATAGTGGTGACAATAGCAAGAACAATAACAATATGCTGTATCGTCCATCCTGCACGTCGAAGGGCCCATTTGATGCTGGCTGGTACTGTTGATACGTCGAATCCGTCCTGAAGAAAGACAATCATCTCAAGAATATATAGGCTCGGTTTCTCCGCCAGGTAAACACAAAGAGCGTCTAGCATAGGCAGTGTAATACTCTGTAGGCTGGTCAGTATGGATTAGAAGCGGACTTGCACAGCCAAACAGGCACAACTTTTTGTTGAAGATTATGATAGTACACCCACTATATCCAGCAGCCTTGGCTCTCTGGGATGTATTTCAGCTCTTCCAGCTAATTTCGAGCCCAGATAAAGAGGCATACAAAGGAATATAAATGGTTTCCTGACCACAACGCTCTTTACCTTGCACCTTCGGGTCTACTAGACTCACTTGATAGTATCCCAGTGGAGGAGACTGAGACATTTTGGTCCGAGTCCTATTTCTGGAGTAGGGATGTCCAGTTAGAACATCTCCACCTCAGGTCAGAAGGTGTTATCCTTATTAACCCCCTGGAAATGGGACAATGATTTGAGCGAGACTCGGGTGGACCAAACACATATGAGCATGATACCCGACAAATAGCAGAGTGTGATGCGCATTGATCAAAATCTGTAATGCAGCTCTCAAGGGTTGCGAATGTTGCCATGACAGTTGAGTAGGCTCACTTGTATATGCCAATTCAAAACTCAATGGGCTGCGGGGTGTCACTGCATGTCTTGCACCACCGTGCTTGCGGAATGTTGATCATAGCTGTCGGCGAGATGCGGTGTACTATTGTCCATTGGAGGACTTGGATCTAGATCCCTTGCATGTGTCGAGCCCGCCGAAGGCTGGGACTCGTCGTTTGTCCGGGCGACGGGAGGATACGCCTTCGCTTAGCTGTCACCCTAGGCTCTGCCCTGAGACCTGTCTCGGTTGCCTGGTGATGGGAGTGAGTCCTTGATGAGTAAAGAGATGAATATTGTTCATTGAAGATGGCAGCAAACGATGTTTCACGCCCTGTGCTCCTTTCGTAGACTTGGCCCTCGAGGATCATGAACCTCTTTGTCAAGAAAGTCAAGGATCGCCATGCGGAGGTGCATGTCGTTGCTGTCTTTGTTACGGGCTGTGCCAACAGCCAGTTATCAAAGAGATCTATGCTTGTGGCTTAAGCTAAGCATGATGTGTGCTCCCACAACCACAAGAATAAGGCACCATAAGCTGCAAGATGATGAACTGTGGCCGCAAAGGATCAGGCAGCGCCACGAGCATATCTTTGCATCAGGTTAGAACAAGCAAGGTCATTGGTACCCATACAGGTTGACCTAACAGAGACAGGGTGTCTCTAGTTTGAGTCAAGCAAAGGCTGGCTGTCTATACCTGGTGAAACACAAGGCTGAAGGGACAAAGCGAAGTCTCCGCCATCCAGAGAGGAGCTTTGATGACTGATCAGAACATTATCAGTCTCAAAGCTCCTAAATTGAGGTTTATCCACGAGCAAAGAATGTGAATGTCTCGGAGAAGCAAGGGACAAGGGTGGGACCTTCGGTGCGTTGATGGCTACTATCGTGGACCCTATCGATACCACCGATAAGATGGGACGATAGGAGGGTTTTCGGAATCGGTACCCTTGCAGTCCGGCAGGGACTATCTTTGGTACTACTCCGTACGGCACGTAGTGAAGTGTTAGGTTCTCTATCGTTATTAGCTCACTTGTCTTCATATTAATTAACTTGAAGTGGAATCGTGGCAGTGATCTTCAGGCGTCGAGCACAATGTGCGTGTAGCCTGAGGTATCAGTGTTGTTCTGATTGGTCGACGCGAAGACGCGAACTGAACGCGCATCGACGCGTCTCGCGTCGTGTCTGTAATATTACCTGATCAGGAAATTTCGCGGTTGTCATGGATGATGACTTCCGTATATGTGTACCGGAATTGGGAGAGAACGACGACTGGTGGACGATGGATGAGTTGAGAGAATTAAGCAACTCTACAGGATTTAAGCTGGTCTTTATTACTGCTGCTGGAGAGCATTGGGATGAACCGCAGGATGCTATCCTAGAGGGAAAGAATGGAGGGACAAGTGTTCCCTGAGACTCCGAACCAGGGCATTCAGTGACAGAGTTCTTCTCCCTGGTCGAACTTCTATTTAATGTGATTTCACTGATTTTGAGACCTGTCTGGAAGGGGTATTGATGACTGTCTTGGTCCGTAAACTCATCTTATGACAAGCTTATGGAATGTCAACGAACATGGACATGCAGCTGCACATGCAATGCTCACCCGATCCTTCCGAGTAGCTCAGTCCAGAAAGCAATGACTTCATGGCGTGTCACCGGATGACCATTGTCAATTGAAGTTGTGGCTTGTTGCTGGGGACTATGATGCAAGGTCGAACTTTCATCCCTCTCCCCCTCGTGTCTCAGCTGGAGTCAATGAAAATCACAGTGTATGTAGACAGGGACTGTAGATCAGACAGAGGGGGATAAGTAGTTCATGAATCTGGTCAAGGCACCATCAATTCGAGCAGAACGAGGGTAATAAGACGGGGGTTTCCCTCCTATCGAGGAGATAGACATCGAGGAACAGAAAGCGAACCAAGAGGAAAGGAACACAGAGAGAGGTCTCGGAGCCTTTGTCCTTTCAGACAGTGCCCCATCTTTCAATTAATCCTGCAAATGCAAAGAAAGTGCTTGACGGTTCTGCAGACACTTCTTTGTTCATCATTCTAAAAATGTTCTTTAAGTATCCACAGCGTATCTGGATATCTACATTCCCTCCATATTTGATTCATATTTAGCTTATCGCCGCTTGCGGAACTCCACTCTGTGACAGTGACTGTGACAGTGACTGCCGGTGTCCCTCCCACTATCCACCAGGCTCCCTCACCCCCCCCAAATTTTAAATTATTATCGCTACATTATTATTGTTTCCACCTCACCTCCCACATCTCTCCCCTCCTCCATCATTACTCCATCCACCAAGTCAATCGCATATCTCGGAAACTATTCCATTCAACAGCGCTCATTCCGAAATCTATCATCCACTCATTTTTATTTTCCTATCGCGTTTTACTGCCGACTGGACCTCCCCCGGCGCAAAACACTTCGCGCCTGGCGCATTCCTCTGGCGCGCGCACACAAAGCCATTCCCTTCATTCAACACCACGACTATCCGATCAATCCATACAATCCTTCATTCTGTGTTGCTTGTTACATTTGATATCTAACCTTGCAACTATGTTGCTCCCTTCTGCGCTTCCTTGCGACATGCGACGCTCCTCAACCCGGTCGCGCTTCACACCTAACCGCCTCTTCTCGACGCCTCCCCCGTCCGACAACGACTTCTTTCCATCAAGCAATGGATTATTAGGAACCTGTCGCGCCCTTCAGTCTCTTCTAAGTGGCTCTCCCGCACCGTCTTCGCGACGAGCCAAACCAGACCGTCTTCAGAGTCCATTCCACCTCGCATCTTCGACATCCACAACCTCCTCCACCCGGCCGCGAAAGCCAAAGACACAAACACGCACTCGACCTTCCTCTCCTAAACCATCACCAAAACCCTCTCGCGGCGCAAACAAGCGCACGCGCGCCAGCTACGAAGCCGACAGCGACGCGGACTCAGAAGACCACACTCCACGCGCTCGATTCTCCACCCCAAAACGTCGTCGCTACGTCCCCTACGATCTCCCTCTGGGCCTATCCCAATCAGACTTTTATTCTCTGAATTCACCACCGACCACACAATCACCGCACTCTCCTGCGCAGCGACGACAGCAAGAGCTTTGCGACGAGGTGCGCGCACCGCTGCCGCCCTCGCCGTCTCCCTCCTCGCAGTCGCAGTTTGATCCCGACGCAGCACTACCATCCATTGAAGAAACAGGACCAGATTCGTGGACCTCAGAAGATGACCGACAACTGGTGGAGGTTGTCTTAGAAAAATTCCAGCTCTCCAAGCGCGACTGGGACGAGTGCGCGCGCCAACTCGGCAGGGATCAGGATAGCATTGGGCGCAGGTGGGAGGCGCTCATTGGAGAGGGGAACGTGGGCTTGCGACGCGGACGGCGGATGGTCCGCGGTCGAATCGATGAGACTTGGCTGTAGCTGCACTCTTTCTCGCCCATGACTTCTCCCACGACTGAACTTGATACCTGATTCATGGACATACCTTTCCTTTATCTCAAGTGCTATGTATTTTTACGACCTCCGTTCAACTCTACTTTCGACCATACCTGTGTTTACGGCAGTGGTTTGTATTATTTATTATTCTTTCCGGTTCTTCGGTGTTTGGTTATCTTATATGCAATCGCCGTCGCGAATTGTCTGCCGGCTTTGGACTCTGATCTATCTTGTCTATATATTTGTGCCGATGTATAATACTCTCTGTCTAACATTTCTGTATCATCATCTGATGTCATTCCGTGTTCAATCAGAACTTGTGATCTTTCTTTGTTCTTTATGCAGTGCGTTCTTTGTCCAAACTCACAGCATAATGTGTTGTTCTCGGAATGCTCCGGAAATGACTCGTTTTATACAGAAAGTCTATTATTGTATTTGTAGGACTTGAACTAAATAATACAGGAAATGCTGATGGTAGTGATGAAATGATCCGAACGCCAAACACCCAGCTCAATGATCGTAGCGAAGATGACGGGAATGCAGAGGATGCACTAGAATCTGCAGGTTCGTTAGTCACGCTCTCAGAGTAGCATATAAAGAGCGGACGCCACGGGAGGGACGTACCTGATTTCATAACTGCCCGCACGAGTCATATACCGCACCCACTTGACACTACTATAGTTGCTCTTCTCAAACACCTTGAGATACCGCACCAGCAACCCACTACTGGTAAACATCAACAGACTAAACGACAGACTCAGCGGCGGCCGGCTCCACGCCTTCTGGTTCGTCATGCTCGTCAGCGTCGCCTCTGCCGTAAGCACGTACTCGCTGCCGCCGGAGAACCGCGCAATCTTCCAGACGATATTGTTATGCTCGGGCTCGTACTTGGCGCGCCCCTGGCTCGTCCGCTCTGTCGTCTTGGCCGTGTTCAGCGGCGTCGGGATGCGGATGACGACATTCGTCGCGAACAGCTTCGAGCTGTAGTTCGCCTTGATGGCAACGCTGTACTCGACCTTGGTGGTGCCGACCTCGCGCACGATCGGGTGCACCTTGAAGGGGAGATTGACGTTCTCCGTGGCGCGGTACCGCATCAGTTCGAACTCGCCGTCCGGCGGCACAAACGAGATGATCCGGTCCGCGTCGAAGCGGCCCAGTTTCACGCACTGGTGGAACTGGCAGTCTTCCAGCGTGACGGAGCCAGCGGCGGCGCGGGTCGCTTTGCTGCCGGAGGGGGCGTGCGAGGATGAGGACGAGCCTGCGCCGCCGGGCCCGCCGCTGTCGCCGTCGAGGAGGAGGCGGTCGTTCAGCCCGAACTTGCACTCCGGGGTGCCCGAGAGGTAGGCGCGCATGACGATCTGGCCGGTGACGTCGGCGCGGAGCACGGTGCCCGTCGCGGACATGAGCAGGTTCACGTCCTCGATTACGTCCACGAAGGCTTCGTTCTTGCGGTACTTGACGTCTGCGCGGCGCCACGAGAGCGCGCCGGTTGCTTGCATTGTAATCCGGCTCGAGTCGGTCGGGTTGTTGACGATGGCGGACTTGACGCCCTCCGTTGTGATGTACATCTTGAGCGTGTCCGGGTCGGTGTTTTGCGGATAACCAAAGTCGAGGATTTCTGGAATGGTTATCCTCTACTCCGTCCAGTTGAATGGGCACTACTCACCATCCAGCAACTCATAAATCAAAACAAAGTTATTCTTGACGGCCTCCTCATCAAACTTCCCAAAGTAGCTCTTTCCCAACAACACCAGCCGGTATAGAAACTCAAACACCAATGCTGCATTCGCATTACTCTTGGTAACCGCTACCAGATAGATATTCTCGTGCTTGACATGGCTGAACGTCGTCGATCCCAGCGTCAGGATGGGCGAGCGCACTTGGGGGTTGGAAATGACTTGGATGCGGAAGATGTCGGCCAGGCGCGGACGGCAGTCATTGCGAAAGGCGCGGAAGATGAGGTTCTCGCCCTTTTGGTTGAAGACGAGAATGCCGGAGAGCATTTTGAATCTGGGGTCACTGGAAGGGGGAAAGGAGGGCGTCGGAATGGGTGCCCTAGAAGAAGGGAGGGATGAAATTGGGGATCTTGCCAGAGAAGCTCTCAGGATAAATTGGGGCCGCAGGTGGGGAAGTCGGTCAGTTTAGTCCAGAACATTTCTACTAAGCAAATGCTATCAATCAAGTCAACCATTTCACAAAATTACTGCCAAGTCTCACAATTTTAGTAGTATTTACTTAAAATGTGATGCTCAGTTGACGGTTGCTGCATATAATTTAGCAGCTTAAGTTCAAGATCCTAAGTACAAAGAGTCACAGGTACAGCAGATAGCTTGGACACAAATGACGGCATGCATATGAACAGCTCGGCATGTCCTCTGCAACAGATATTGTCTAGAGAAACAAGTCTGAAATTGCGGACGTGGTATCATGAAGATGACAAGATCCAACAAGTAAAAAGTCCAGTATTCCGAATTCGCTTCCAAATCCGCTAGATATCACGCACAACGGCCGTTTCAGGGGTATAAAGAATTAAAAAGGGGTAAAAAGGTATTAAAGTAAGAGGAAAAGAGAAAGAAGGCAAGGTCCCCGATGACAGTATACCTGACGTGTTGTAGCTTAGAATCCAAGCCCAACGCCACTGTTTGGTCTTGTTCCCGGCAGGGACACACCCTCGCTGTGGATGATGCCAACCTTGGGATCCGGGATTTGGATGTCCAAAGACATGTATGCCGTCCGTCGCAGACTCCATATATGTACCCCATCCTTCGCGCCGACCTCGCGATTCCATTTGTCAAGCCAATCTTCCACTCGTTTCAGATGGCTCTTGATACCAGGGGCACCGATATCTTCCCACAACCAACCTGTGACCAGACCCAGTGCGCCATCAAGCAGATTACGGAAACTGAACGGATCAAACGCCTTGATGAGTTCCTCGTTCACCGTCGCAATCACCCGCCGAAACTCCTGTTCCGGTAGTAATGGGTCCAGAATCTCAGGATAGAGGTTCGAGAACGTCGGCGCCAGATCCCCCTTCACCATCCAATCGCGTCGTATTCGAATAATTCTAGTTGTGAGATACTCTTGCGACCCGATGGGAACATGTGGATTGACATGAGGGTAGCAAGGATGCGCGGGGCCCCATGCCAACTCCTCCGCGACTTCAGCCTCGCCGCCGGTCGGTGGCGCACCTGTGTTTGATGGAATCGAGGCAATTTGCGACTGTGAACGCAGGGAAATTTGTGACGGTATATGGCGCGGACGATCCCCATGCAGCGGACCCAACGATCCCTGCCGATCAGCAAGTGTATCCTGGGCTAGATGGGCCCGTTCGGGCGACCTGAGGTCTTTTCCCTCTTGAAAACCATTGTTGCTGTGTTCCGCCTGTTCGGACATCTCCTGCACAGCGGAATGGCGATCGAATGTGCCACTGCGCCTCTGCCCTCGAGGCACTGCGATGCTGGAGCGTCCACTCTCGGCCTCGCCTTGACTGCGCTCTACTACCAAGCTGGTTGGAGATTGTGACAATCGACTGCGGCGTCGTTCTGGGATGGTCAGAAGCGGATACGCGTCTCGGTGCGCTTCCAGAGGCAGGTGCTCGTCGGAGATCTGCAGCGGATGCGGGACAGTGACGGGGGTAATTCGGGGTACGTAATTGACTGGGTTCGCGAGTCGGACCGCGGGGGGTCGGAGTATGGTAGTGGTGAGCAATGAATGTGCGCGTTTTTGGAGTTGTTTTTGCCGGAGGGCGGGTTTCTTCAAGCTATTTCGGGCCGGATATTCAGTAAACTGTGATAAGTATGATGAGGCACGACGGTCGGGCTCGAGTGATCGGTGGGTGTGATGGCGGTGGAGGCAAGTATTGGAAGTCTCTTCAGCCTCGGGCGATGATAGTACGTGCGAGTGTTCCCAGGTCGTTGAAGACGCCGTTTTGGGAACAAGGACTGAGCCACCGGAGGACAGGGATAGAGGAGCGGACGAAATGGTCGTCGCAATGGCTCAGGGGGAGGCCAGGATATTACCACTACTATCGCTAGTAGGAGCAATAATGATAGTAGTAATAGGGATGATGATGGTGGTGGAGAGGAGAAAAGAGGCAGGCGGTGGTGTGCAGCAGACGAGGCTGTGATTGGCGGACGAGACTCAGAAAGGGGCGAGGCAGGGGACATGGAAGGCCCGAGCAGAGCACAATGACATCGACGCGGTGGTCCCTCGATGTCGATGTCTGATGATGTTTGAATTGGTGCTCAGGACGATGGTGGTCAAGTGCGAGAGTCACTGAGAAGAGATGGATTGGTTTGATTTGGTTCGAACTTCTCTATGTACGTTTCTCAATGGTTTGTAGCAAGCAGGTCTCCGTCTCAATAATAGAGGTCTTGCCAACAAGGCTGCACAGGCAGGAAAAGGAAGGGAAAAAGGGAAGAGAAAAGAAAGGTAGAGAAGAGAACAAGCAAAGACGCGACAATTGATAGATATAGGACGCAAATTAAGAGTAAAGGTGGATAGTCAATAATGACCAAGACGATCCAATAGCCCAAGTAAGGCCCAAGAGTCGCCTCAATTCTCTTTCCCCCATCTCCAAGAAAACTTAGTGTCTCTCCTGTATAAAGAGAGCTTCAAGGGTGTGACGCTATGAGGTACTTTGTACCTCAGGAAATCCACGCTTACGACTTCGTATCATTGGTTATGAATCCTTTGAATTGAAAATGTGGACGTGGATTGGATGTTTCATTACCTGCATTCTGTCATGCAGTTCATATCTTTCAAACGTCTCAGGATTGGAATAGGAGGCACATTGTCACAGGCTTGCAGTTTTTCATACAGCAGTCATGTTTGGCTCTATCTAGTCTACCCCATGGAGTAGAACTTAACAAGGGAAAAGATTGATTTGGGAATTTATCACCATCACGGACTCTCCCCTGCCCTAAGCCCCTGGATTTGGTGCTATATTTGTCTGCCGGATGGCTCGGCCAGATCGACTATTCCTTGCCTAACTATGTCATAAGTACCCAAGGATTAGTACAAATCAGTCTAAAAAACAGCCCAGTGGATCAAAGTTTTTGATAGTGAGGCGTCCAGATCGTCCAGGATGCACTAGGCCATCCGAACAATGGGTCTTTCTTGCGTAACTATCTCCCAGCTTGATTTGTAGAATTGATTTAACGAGACGCTTTCTAAGGAACATAGGTCGTCAGAACCATTGTCTTGAAACTAAACATCATCTATTTACCACAGACATCAAACTTGTTCCCGTAAAACATGTGTAAAGCTGAAACATCAGGTCTGGACTGCGCGTCTGTACGGAGTAGCCAAGGGCGTAACCTTACCCCGGAATATCCGGGATCATCTCTATCAGTCTATCTGTGTGCAAGTGCTGTGTTACCGCCCATTCATGCTTTGATTCGCTCTGGCTTGCATGCGTCGCATGGCTTCCCGATGCAAGTCACTCATATCCCCACGCTGCATCCCCTCGGCAATTGCCCTGTCGAAATTGGCTTGCAAGGATGAGGAATTCCGCCCCGGAACCCCAAAAGAAAGCGAAGTGTGAGGGCCAAAGCTTGTCCCACTGATTGGTAGATCCTGCTTCGCCAAGGGATTGCGTTTGTCATTCAAGTTTTCCCGAATAGATTCTCTCCACGCGGCCATGACCGCTTGAGCGTTTCCGGGCCTCGATACGCTCGGTTGACTCCATTTCGGCGCTGAGACTGGCATGCTTGTGTGCGGACTCTGGACTTTTTGTTGATGCAGCATTGCACGGCGACGAGAGAGAGGGACGTCATCCCCTGATTCCGGAAATGAAGTTGTCGGGGAACTCTGGGCCGAAGTGTCCAATGCAACGGACGGTCTAGGGCTTGACTGCCTAGGGCTCTTCCGCGACGCCCACGGATCAAGGCTGAGGCAAGTAGACGACACCCGACTTCGCATCATATCCTCTCGTACTGCAAGGAGCGGGGGCGGCCCTTTCCACCTCGGTTTGGTGAGCTCAGGGTCCCCTTGAGGTTGTCCAGTCAGTAAAGGTGTGGATGCGCCTGGGAAAGCATTATGCCCGGCACCGTAGAACACCGCGCTTTGGAGAGGACTGTTGGACGATAAGACGATTTTGGAAGATTCTCCAGAAGACCTGCCCACTGGTTGAGCTTCTCCAACTCTGTGTGGACTGGTAGTCGAAGTGGTTCGCAACCTGTAGTCATTAGATATTTGCTGACTGTCGATTGGGCTGTGCTGTTCTTTTCCGGTGCTGGCACGCAAGTTGGCAGCAGGTGGCTGCGCTGTGAGAGGTGTTTGCAACAGCTCCTCGACATTGACAGGAGCAGGAGCCTCTTCAACCTCTATAGGGCTTTCCGCTGCTTCCTTTGCGATAGACTCGATAGGTTCTGGCTCGGGAATCTCTGCATCACAGAGATGCTTGGCCCATTCGTTCGTGCGATAGGTCTGGACTACCCTCGATGTCCGCTCCGGAAGATGTTTCACAGTTTTTGCGTCTAGTTTGGGCTTTTCCATTTTTCTTTTACTCTTTCGTTTGGAATGCGACGGCCAGGATCGCTGCCTCTCGGATTGGACACCTGTGCATGGTGGCGTTTTCAATGAGGTATGTTCCACTGGCATTTGAACGTTCTGCTCCTCCGAGCGGCTAGTCGTATGTTCTTCAATTGAATGACTGTCTTTGCAGTCTCCAGTCTCGGCTGTGGCGTTTGTTTGTAGATCTTTGGAGGTCTCTAAGGACTGTCTTTGTGCTCCCTCAGAGACCTCTTCGGCCTCTGGATCGGCTCGAGAAGGCAACGGTACACATACTCCATCAGCTTGCGTTGTCGACTGTTCGTTCTCTGTCTTCTTGCTATCCGGCCGATTATCAGGCCGAGGCTCAAATCCTTGCAAACTTTCCCCTGCGTCATCAGTTGGATGACTTTCGTTCTGGCCAACGTCTTCAGCCTCTGATGTCAAGAGCTTCTGTAGCTTGCCGTTCGTAGCAGTATCTCTTCCTTCTACATTGTGCAAGCCTCCCTCCTCTCCGTGAGCATCTGTTCCTTGCACAAGAACCGATTCCTGAATGTCAAGGCATTCTTCTTCACCATCGATACTTTCACCTATTCCGACTTCCACGTTGCTGTTACGCCTATCAGAGGGAACGGCAGCTTCTTGCACTGCTATTTCAGGCTCCGAGCGAGCCTCGACCTCATCTTCGCGCGATTCAATTTCAACGCCATGATAATATGAGCCCGAGCGTCTATCACTGCTCTCATCCACAGCGCTTTCTCCAGACATCGACGACTCGTCATCAATATGCGCGAGGGCTTCTTGTGATGGTGCAGGTCTCAGGCTGCTTTGTATAGACATTCTCTTCCAGAGTGTCATTCCGGAGAAGCGCTTCGAGCGTACCGTCGCGGTGTCTGAGCCAGCCATAGCAGTGACATCAGATTCCTTATCATCCATCAGTCTCGCCGCGGCCGCCCCGTCAAAGACCTTGAATGGCAATGGGTGTGGGCCGTCAGTTGTCTTCTCAGTCGTGTCTCCATGTCTCTCCACTTCAGTATTTCCCGTAGCCTGAGTCACCTCGGAGAATGAAGCCTCACTGCCCTCCTGTTTTCTACAGTCAGAGCAGCGATAAGAGACCTGCGATGAACCGGAAATGCTGTTGACGTCCGCCACGTCACCCTTCTCAAGATCCTCCTTATCAGCAGCACATTGAGCGCCGTCTCCAAGCTCCGGCATGAGCTTTGCTTCCACGTCCGCGTATTGAGCTTCCCATGCTTGTCTTTCTCTCATGTTATTCTCCTCGAGCCTGCGGGCGACTTCGGCTTCGGCCTCTTCTTTCCTCTTCTCTTCCTCTTTCTTGGCTGCTTCCTCCTTGCTTCGCTTCTCTCTGATCACTTTCCACAGTCTGAGCTGCGACACAACACCTAAGATAGCAACAATCACTGTGACGGCAAGCTCTACCCGAATATTGCGAGTGATTGGGTAGGTTCCAGTGCCCAGCGGGAATACATCTTCGTTGAGATCTTCATGAACAGTGAGTAAGACTGTGAATGAGACCAACATAAGCCGCACTTACCCCATATATAGAGCCAGAACTCTTTCAGTCCAGCCCGGCTGTAGCAGTCGATTCCAAGGGCAACAGCCGTACCTCCGGAAACAGCAGCCGACACTATCAGCCCATAAGGACGCGTATGGTGACTGAACGACAAGGCGTAAAATGTGACGGAGATCGCGCCGATGAACCCAGCTTTGGCGTTTGTGTCCGTGAGAAGGGCCCCCGGCCTCAAGCAAAGAAGCCACATGCTCACACAGAACCCTCCCAGGAGGCACCCAAGCCCTTCGGTCAATTCCTTGAACACAATGGAAAGCGCTCCAAAGGTCACTCCTGTGAAGAAAATTGCCACGAGATATGCTCCTTGAACCGCCACGCGCACAGGAGGATTCATTACATATACAATCAAGACCTGATTCGTCAGTATACAGTATGATTATGCTTGCCAGGCGATTGGCTTACCGTGACTCCTAGGCTTGTAAGAAAGGCGGCAGATAAGAAAACTTGAACCCTGGGTCAAAATATGTTAGCTCAGAGGACTCTTTTACAGGCGGGATTCTGATGGTACCATAGATTGCGTATTCCAATCAGTGCAAGAATGGCTCCCGTAGCTATAAGGATAAAGCCACCAACCCCAAACGCTGGAGTCACCCGGGGCTCAAGCGGAAGGACGCCAGGCGCAGGCGTGACTGTTCCATCTTTTCATGGTTAGCTTTTAGAATGTTCCAATGAGGGAGGATGCACCCGCTTTCAGAAATAGTCGATGTGTTGAGCGACAAGATAGTCGTTGATGCCGGTGCGGTGGTATTCGATGTGGTTGTAGAGTTCAGTCTTACTGTCGCATGGTTTACTGCGCTCGTCGCTGAAGCGCTTGGAGCTTGATCCCCTGATATCGTCGTATTTGGCGATTCCTCTCGCGCTTCTAGAGCACCAACTGGCTGGATTCTATCGCGACCAACATGCGGTATCGATGCTGCAGAAACAGACAATCTAGATATAATGCAGACAACCAAAGCAAGGAGAGGTAGCAATCTCATGTTGACTGCGAGGGTGACTTTGTAATGATTTAAGCGCAACCGACAGAGACGGTTGCCGAACTTAGAAGGCCGGTGGCGCTGACAAGTACTTCTGAGATAGTGTCGACAGATGTTTCCTATTGTTGTTCACATACTTTGGCCCGTAAGTTCACCGTGGACAATGACAGTCAAGAACAACATTAATCGGTGCCAAAGCTGCGCTTTTACTTTGAGGGAAACGTGACTGTCAATCTTCGAACAAGCTGGGAGACGAAAGGAGATCTAAGTCTTTCCAGACATATATGTACTGATATACATCATACGCGCTTCTTCGGCGTGACCAACCGGAAAGTGAAAAGGAGCATCCTTATGGCCCAGGCGCTCAGAGAGCTGGCAATAATATTTTGTAGGGATAAACTCCCAGTCGGCACACCGAATCATGCAAACGAGAGACGGACGGCAGACTAGGCGCATCGAAAAAGTGAGTTCCTCCACTGATTGGGAAATTAAGGAAAAGTAAATAATTGCATCGCCGGAGGCCATGCATGACAATAGTATTTTCTAGGCAGGGATCTACGATCAGTATCTCGCAAAAGCGACAAAAACTAACGATCAGAGAGCCACAGTGAGCCACGTACCCCTATGAGGTATGTTCTTACCAGCGGTCAAGTAATGGGCTTCTTGCACACAGTCATTCCAGGATTTTGCTGCATGATCTGAACTGTGAAAGAAGGTTAAGGTAATCTGCAAGGAAGGGGTCTCGAATTCCTGTCCCTTGGGCAATAGAGGGGTCGGCTATAGGTGTATTTATAACGACAATCATTGGATAATTGTTCAAGGGAGTCAACGCCAACATGGCCTGCTATCAGTACAAATGATAATAGCTGTGGCGTTAATTTCATATTTCAGGCGGTATGACAGGTTGATTTGGACAGTCAAGAGTAGAATAAGTAATCAGAATCCGAGTCCCAACAACAATGCGAAATGACTCGCGCAGCAAATGACACAATGAGCAGTCATATCGGATTTGATGTTGGATGCAGTAGAGAGGTACGCATGAAGCCATTGGCAAGTCAAGCTGAAGTGTTTCACACTGGTCAGTTCCTTCTTAGCGAGGACCCAAACCGATTAGATAAACTTCGCGTCCAGAGTGGGCCTTGCTATGGTCGTCATCTCTGTTGATCAGGCTAGCATCATTAGCCTTCATTAGTTTAGGACAGTAGGCTGATCTGCTGCATGGAATGACAGGTCTGATCTCTCGGCTTTCCTAGGCGCCGGGACTGCCCATTGAGAAGTGGGCATTCCGCCGCTTTATCTTCTGATTGTTCGTTGGAATCGTCTTTAATTTCCGAGTTAGTTATTTTTTGAATGTGCTTAGCCGATTTATCCATTGTTTCCACCGCAGGGGGTTTGCGACAATTGGCTCTCTGAGGTTGAAAACGCCAGGCAATGCAGAGAAATCGATATGAATAAAAACTTCCAAGGTTCGCAGCAGGGTGACAATAGTGGGACGCACGGTCGATGCAGAAAGGAGTTCGAAAGGGCGGAAGCTGAAGGGCTAGATACTGGAATAGCTTGCACTTGGACAACCGCAGTTGCACGTACTCCTTCGAAGTTCCGTTCGCGAAAAGGCGCTGGCAATGTCCTGCATTTGACATCTCACAGTGGAGTCAGAAACCACTATGTTTGGGCTCATTGAACTACTTCCGCGTAGGATATCCCTTTTGGCCTGTCCAGTCTTCGTAACCGAGTATTCTGGTGGGCACCTATGGAGGAACGATGCAATGCTCCATGGCAGAAGATTAAGCGGACAAATTCGGATTCTAAAAACATTGTTGCTCCATATAGATCCCAGAGATCAATTAAAATCCAATAAATTAGTGTATAAGAAGCAAGTTCTTGCTCAAAGTAAATATTTTGAAGCGATTGTACCAGAGGTAAGGTATCCAATAGACGTAAACAGCTCCGTATTCAGTACCTCCCCTGTAAATATCACGTGACTGTCACCGCGCGCATCATCGCGGAGCCGGGAGAGGACCGCTATCGACCATCATCAGCACCTACAAGGTTACAAGTTTTCATCCTTCCTCGACGTGCCTATTTATTCAATACTATCTCAAGCTCAAAATTAACATATATTCATCCATTCAGACCGACATGTCTGCCTTCACCTCGTCACTTCGCCCCTTCCTGCGCGCGTCTTCCGGCGCAGCTCTCTCCGCACGCTCTTTCAGCACCTCCTCGCCGCGCTCGATCGCTCGCATGATCATCACTGGCCGTCTCGCTGCCGAGCCCGAGCTGCACGCCACCTCAACCGGTCAAGACGTCATCAAGTATGCGGTTGGTACAACCTATGGCAAAGGGGATAATCGTCAGACCAGCTGGTTCCGCGTCTCGAGCTTCCAGCCAGAGGGCTCGCAGCGGGATTTCATTCTCAGCCTGCCGAAGGGGTGAGTATTCCCGCTTATCATGCTTGCAGCTCTATCTGTCTGACCTGTGTACCCATCGCATCATTGGGTCATGGCTGCAGACTTAGAGCAGTTGAAGTCTGATGCTGATCGTTTCTTGTTCTACCAGAACCCTTGTGTACGTTGAGGGCGATGCCACCATGCGTTCGTACGAAGACGCAGATGGCAAGAGACAGTCTGCCCTGAGCATTGTGCAACGTAAGCCAGCTACCCCATTCATGCATCTCCATCTGAGAAGAATCCATACTAATGCATACCGTGACCAGGGACGCTCGAGGTCCTCAAACGCCCTTACAACCCCGACGCTACTGGTTCTGAAACTTCTTCCCAATAATCGGCTTAGAGGACAAGTGGGGATAGAAGAGAATGATCTGTGGGAGAGGCTTTCTGATTCCTGTTTCCTGTTGGGGTAGATCGCTCTGTTAGGGATTTTGTCTGACATCTCCGCTTTGTCGGTGAAGCCGAGTGTTGGCCGCCGCTCCCTTTGACTTGCATGTATTGTAATTGCTGTGCTGTACCAGTATACCCTTGAATGACACTACTTTGACCGTCCGCTCTTAAGATGGCTTCTTTTTCTCTTGATCTATAGAGTGTTCTTCCATGAGACAATGTTAGTACGAATCCCCATCCTCTGATATCGCCTGATTTTGCCGGTATTGAGTGCGATTCATGGAGATTGGAAGGAAAGGATTACACTGTATGTTGATGTTGACTCAAGGTTGGAGGGTCAAAGGAAACTCAGAAAGGAAATATATTATGGTGTATCTGCTCTAGTCGATATGACAAGGAATGGAACACATTGTCAGTCAGAAGTGGAAGACTTTCCCATCGGATGTCCACGTCAGAATAACTTGTGAACACCGCAAGGCACCCTTATGAATTATCCATTTGCGAAACCCATGCATGTCACACATTCTATGTTTCGGGTGACTGTGAATCTGAGGACTTGTGCCACTAGCCGGTGAGCTTACACCTGCAGCTCACTCTCTTGACTAATCACTTGCTTCACGCGAATAGCATCCGGTCCGGCTGGGGCATGTGTGAAGTCACTACTACCACGGCTCCGGCTCGTACCGGCCCAGGCGTTAGTGGATACTGTGGTGACTGGAACCGAAAAGGTTGGGTCAGAGGTCGCTGTTTCCCGGGTTGAAAGGAAGGTGCCGCTCAAGAGACACCTTGGTAGCGGAACCCAGTGCGATCTTTTTGTAGAAGAACTCTCTTGTCGGGGCGCGGAACCCTTTTCAATATCCTCGTGGCTGGAGGTGGTCGTCCCGCTCGTGGTAGAGTCGGTCATTGTTCTGGGACTGTATTAGCATGAAGGATCAATCATTTGTCGATTATGACAGAAGATAGCCCTTACCCAGTTGAAGACGATTGCTTCCTAGAGGATAGCAATTTCGCACGGCTCGCTGTAAAAGATGCCGAGGTGCCTTGCGACAAAGTGCGCAACCCAGAAAGACACTTTCCCAAGCCCAAGAGGCAAAGAGCGGATTGGTACAATCTCAAAGCATCGTTGCAGCATCCGAAAAGGATGAAGAGCACGTATCCCGCTGCCACAGAAATCCAGCGGTCAAAGAAGACTTCGCCATGCATTGGAATCTTGAGGATGGTGCTCCATGGTGAGTGTGGGCCATGGAGGCGGCTCCATGAGTATGGATGCCAGGGCAAATTGTACATAAGATTGCGATAGACAACGTAAGCCTGAATGGGCAGAATCGTCCAAAGCATGACGCACGCAAGGAAGAATAGACGCAGGAATCTGGACTTGTTGAGATGGCTGTTGGCGGAGTTGAGTATGTCCCCAAACTGGCTCCGATATTTGTGAAGGCGATAGAGGGTTAACCCTGTGTGGTCGTCAGTCATGAGCAGAGAAGAACGACGGTGCCTTATTCATACCGCAATAGAAAGCAGCCAGAAGGCAGATTATAGGAGGCCAGATGAACGCTAGCACAAGGCTCATCCAGCTTTGATCAAAGTTGTTGACGCACCCTGAAATAGTGAGGATTAGGTATCGGCTCCTTTGGTAGAGGATATGTGTACTCATTGCGATCACCGGGATGATCACACAGAATGAAATATCCATCAGACGGTTACGCCAACGTTGGCTGGTGCTGGGGACGAGCATAGCGCGTCTGGTGTCGAGCACAGAGGCCAAGCTTCGGAAGATACAGACCAGAGTCCCCGGTATGCCAACATAGCTCGCTATCATCACCTTGGTCTCGACATCACAGAGACCCTGACCATCCCACCATGAATCGACATCGTCCGTTGGCCAGATAAGTGCATTGATAATGTTAAAGGTGTTGCTGATAAGAAACCAGCTAATGAGGGCAGTGGCGGGGAAATTACGGTTCTTCCAATGTAAGATGATCGGAGGAATACTGACAACAACTGCAATGGAGGATAGCACAGGGAGGACCACAGCCTGCGGGCTACGTCCTGTTGTAGCTGAGTCCATCAGGGAAACTGTCTTCTAGAGACGAACACGCTTTGACGTGAAGATTCTGATGGAGGCGCCGACGTCGTGCACAGATGTTCCTTCTGCGGATCGAGTCGACGGTGAGTTTCTTGAGGTTCGAATGGCAGGAGCAATGAGCCAGCACCGCTCAGTTAAAAGAAGGAGATCACAAGTCGCATCTGAGGAGGTACACGGGGGGAGAAGCAACCGGAGACAGGAGGAACAGTCGTATGTCTTATTGAGCACGAAGATCCCAAGCGAAGACTGAGTGTAGATTGCGCGAGCCCTCTACTCCCCCTCTCTGTTGAGACAGTCATTTCAGAAGATCTCAGCAGGTGGAGAACATGCGAATAGACAGCAATGAGCAGAGAAGTGAAGAAAAAAGCAAACGTGTTTGACGCATATAGGGAGTGAGAGCAAGTAATTCAGTCAATGATTTCATCCAGGACGGTGCCGGGTGGGCTTACGTCTGGAGATCCACTGCGACCTGAGGAAAGTCATCACCCGACTATTGAGAAGTTCGACTTGAATAAAGAATGGTGAAGACAAAGTCAGACAGAATGGGATTTCCAGCCTCTTTCTGAGGTGGTGATGGGTGGAAGAGTCACTGGGATATCACCCGCGGATACTGGAACCATTCCCTTTTTGGGTGTCAATAAGCCCGCTGTTTGCCATCATCGTCCACAGACTCAACACACTCGACTGCTGAAGCACTCTAGTCTGGCCCGATTCGGAGGTCTTTTGCCCCTGGGATGCGGCCAGTCGCTGTGAGAATTCGATGTTTGGTTTCACAGAGAGCATACAACGGCACCTTGTGTCGTCGATAAGGAATGTCGGTATGGTGGTCCCGACGAATCAACAGGCGGTTGGATGCCATTATAAGATCACACGCAGCTATCCAGGGATTGGAGAGACGGTACAGTACCTCTCATAGGTCTCTTTTTCCTGCTTTTTGTTACAGTGCAAGGTAAAACCTACTCCAGGGGCGCGATATATGAAACTGTCATGACATGCCTAACCCGACATCTCCGAGACTAGAAGAAAGGAAGGGATGATGGACCACATTGTCAGGGCAAAAAATTCTTCAAAATCCGAGATACTTGGACTGCTTTGGACAACATTGGCCTTCGCGTCAAGGCCCGATGAGAATTGATTTCGAATATCGCATGATCGATGATTCTGATTGTAGGTTACATTGTCAAGCAGTTGCAGATATAGACTTTGAGAAGTGAAGCAACAAGTTCGAATTCCGCACACCGGCCACTGATGGAAGAGAAGACCTTTCCATGCAAGCTCTGAGCGAATAGATACATTGTTTAATGGCTGCTTCAACGAGCATAGCGCTGGAGGGGCTGCAATAACCTCAGAGGGGTAGTCGGTAGGTTGTGTTATTGCTTTTTCTGGCAGCCCCTTCTGTGGCGCATGTTGTCGCTATTACGTACCTCTGGCGTCCTTCTCTCCGCGCGTGGTTTGGTTCAATGCAACAACCAAGTCAGGAGCAACACCTTTGCAAAAGCGTCCCCGAGTGTGCATGAATTTCGATTCACCTCATCAAGCGCTACCTCCTAGCATGTACCTTGGTATACCATGAGGTACACTTGAGGTTCTATCATTCCCAAGATACATACGCATTGCAGCATCTGATCCGCTATCGTCATGCCAGAACAACCCCGGAGATCGGCTTCACCCCAGGCCCCTATCGAGAGCGCCAGACCCCACGTCCACACGATCGGATCCCTGAACCTCCGCCATCGAGGCCCGACCCGTGCTGCAACTTTTGCAGAGGGCACATCAAGCATTCAAGATCAACGTCGCAATTCAAGCTTCTCGGACTCAGTATCTGAAGCACGAAATTCGATTCGCTCCTCAACTGATGAGTTATTGTTCCCACGCGTAGTTCAGAAGGGGAACATCGGTTTGCCGAACGAGGAATCGAATTGGCAATCTGCGCCTCTTGGTCTAGCATTATTGCCTGCTATCGCCGGTATCTTTTTTAAAAATGGGAGTGCCGTCGTAACAGATATCACTCTGCTGATTCTGGCAGCTATCTTTCTCAACTGGTCGGTGAGACTACCATGGTACGAGCTAAATGCCCTGATTTTACGCATTCTACATGTCTCTCTCTAACTGGAGGACCAGGGAATGGTATCGCTCTGCTCAGGCCTTGAAACAAGAGGACATATATTACGATTCCGTCGCTTCAAATCTAGAACTCGAAACGGATGAGAATGGGGAAACCTGTGAAGACCGAAAGAATGCGACAGATCGAGAGCGCCGAAGGGAACAACAAGTCCCCAGTGCTGCCAACGAAGCCAGTAAGGAGCTTCAAATTCATGAAGTTGTTGCTCTTGCATCGTGCTTCATCTTCCCCGTGATCGGGACATGGCTTCTCCATGCTATCAGATCCAAATTGTCGCGTCCATCGGAAGGATTGGTATCAAATTACAACCTAACCATTTTCCTGCTGGCGTCAGAGATTCGGCCATTCGCTCACCTGCTGAAGATGGTGCAGGCGCGCACACTCCATCTTCAGCGCGTTGTCGCTGCATCTGCCGACGACGAGGAGAAACTGGACCCGAAAAAGATCAAGGACCTAGCCAAGCGACTGGAGGAACTCGAAGCACATGTCGCTGAAACAGCGGCGGCTCGGCTACCGTCCGGATCATCAAATTACCCACAAGACCAGGAACTACCTCAAAATCTCATCTCGCAAGCAACCGCAGAAATCCGCAAAGGCTTCCAACCGGAGATCGATGCCTTGAATCGCGCGGTTCGGCGCTACGAGAAGCGCACAGCGCTCACTTCATTTCAGACGGAGGCGAAATTTCAAGCGCTCGAAACCCAGGTACACGATGCTATTGCTCTGGCGGCAGCAGCGCAACGCTCCGGCTCCCGTCGACCCTTGGGTACTCTATCGGGCTTGTTCAATAGCATTTATGCAATTATCCTCCTTCCCGTGCAGATCTTCATGTCCCTGGCAAGCCTCCCGTTTCAGCTATCAACGCGATGTCTACGATATTGCAAAGATATGCTAGTCTCGAAACCACCTCGAAGATCGAGCAAGGGTAAGGTGCCGCGCGATCTCAGAACTTCTTCAAGGCAGTTCAGAAGGATTCCTCCACAGGACTTGGATGGTGGTCCAGCGCTCAAACCAATCCGGGAGTATCAATAGCAAATGGAAGCGGGAAAGTTTTTGACTATGGTTTTGGAAAGTATAGCATCATGATACAGATTTGGCTTCACAGCCATCGGGTGTGATTCGGGCATTTATCCATTGACTTGTCAATATGGACCAATGTTGTTGTCTTGTTTATTCTTTCTCTGTCTTCATCGGCATCTATGGTCTGTACTGGGGTTCGAGATTCTGGAAATAAACCTGGACAGGCGATGGCGTCCTGCGAAGAGCATTCTCGAGTTGCATTTGTCCTGCTATTCATGGGGTTTTTAGCACAAGCTACATGTAATCCCAGTCATATAAAGTGACAATATGTCTATTGACTCAAAATGATTCCAGCCCTGCGTCTTGCAACGTGCAACCAAAATGTCACCGCACAATGACTATATAATCTAACAATGTATTGAATGAAGGCACGAGAGCAAGACGTGTTACAGAGTACAGGCCGCCCAACTCTATAAGTAAGACACAAGAACCTCCTGTCTGAGGCGCGAGTAAAGTAAGAAAAGTTTACATAGATGTGGGTGGTTACGGAGCACCACCCGATGGACCCATGTTATCAACCCCAGCCGTCTTCAGGAACGGCTCGATAATACTTCGTTTTCTATCCTCCAGGGCTCGCCGCTCCTTGTCCTTGCTAGGGACAGTGCTGGCAGAAATGAGTGCGGAAGCAAAAATGGAAGATAAGGCGGTTTCAACTGCTTGTCGGCGATGACTGGCGTTGGCTTGAAGGCTCGATAAGCTGGTGGCTGTCAAGACACGCGGTCGGCGTTTGATACTGCCCCCCGAGGCTGCTGTTTCAGCTGCGGCCGGATCGGAAGGCTGTCCACCTTTGGTGGATAGAACACTGTCCCTCTTCTTGTGTTGATCTTGTTGGTTCGATATTTCAGGCAGTGCTGTTGCCGTGGACGGCAACGGGGCGATCTCGTTGGCAATGTGGGCGAGCATAAAAGTGACAAATGTGAAGGAGACGCTGTGAGCGGGGGAGTATGCGAGCGTCTCTAGAACCCATGCTTGAGTTTCATCCCAGGACAGGGGAGGTGACTTATTCCGTTCACGCGTGACCATCTGCTGTTCCATTTTCTCCCAAACGAGAGCCGTAACTATTCCATCTCTCAGTGAACGGAGAAATGCCAGCAACGTCTCGCACAGAAGTTCTAATCGATGCAGCGAGGTTACCTCGGGAGCGAAGATAGACCTGAAGTCTTGACTGGTGTCCAAGGCTTCACGAACTGAAGCCAAGTGCCGAGACCGTTGTTCCTTATCCTTCAAAGTCCACGTCTCTGGATCAAATGGCCATCCAGCGCCCTGGTCCTTTGCCCATGGGGGCAGCTCTTCATCGGAATCACCTTTTGTCATCCCCCACTCAGCAATAGCACGTTCAGACTGTTCTGAAATAGCTTCAGTCAGGCGGAAAAGCTCACGAGGCGCTGATAGGCGGCCAGTTTCATCAGGATCACGCTCTTTCTGTGATTTATCTCTTTTCAATAGGCTTCGCGCACCGGCTTCGGGCATCATGGTAAGTTCTTCCACGCTGCGACCAAAACATGTAGGTAACCACTGCCCATAAGCAGAGATGAAATGATCGCGACCGCCGGTCACCCGAAGGACAAGGATGTCCTCAAGCTTGAGTTGACCATTGTTCAGCAAACGGACATGTTCGATATCGTGGACATGTGCTGTTATATCAATGTTGGCAAGCTCCCCGGGAAACAGAGTACGTTCGTTTGTTTTCCTCTTCTTATCTTCCTCATGGTGAGTGGGTGCTTCAATTTTGTACTCCAGCCATGACGGTGTCTTCTGTTCACTGCCATGATCGGGTCTCTCAAGGCGGAAAGTAGCGGGCACGCCACACGTATTTGCAACAGTGAGTGAGCGGGTGATGGGTATATCGAAAGAAACATCACCAAAGTCTACCGCATTCGGATCGGTTGTGGACTTTCTGGGATCCTCTCCGTTCGTATCGACCACGATCGTCAAGCCAGGTCGCGATTCATTCTCGGCCTTGTCTAGCTCCCGTACAATTTCCTGATGTACCTTGGCTTTCAAGTAAGGGTCGACAGCCTCATATTTGATCGTAAAACCGGCAGTCAAAGGCTTGTGGTCCGATGATAGAATACCTTGATGTGACACATAATATTCGAGCCGACAGCACTCATCCTTATCAGATTCGGAAGATACCGAATCACTGTCGCTCGATTTATCCTTATTTGAATCGTACTCGTCCCCACTGTCGGCACCATCGACGTCCGGGTCGTAGTCAAATAATACGTTGTCATCAGCATCCGCCTTATCCAAGCCTCTTGCTTTCATTTCTTCGTCACGTTTTCTCGACTTCTCGGCTTCTTGAACCCGCTTTTCATGCCTCAGTCTGTCGTGGCGTGTCCGGTATAGAATTCGATCGCACCAACTCGGCCCACGATGCTTCTCGCTAGAGTCGAACCTGGCCACACTCCCTACATCATACTTGTATGTCGGTAAGAATGTAATGTCGCCTTCCCTCCAACCGTCATGAAAAGCCCTGTTTTTCTTCTGTTGCATACGAAGCTGATCATGTGGCAGTAGAGACGCAATAGTAGTTTGTAGCGAAGAAGGGTCCGTGTGAGGGTCGATTTCCTCGTCCGATAACGTTGGAAATGATTCTTCCGATTTATTGTCGTGTTCGACGCCTACCATTGGTGATGATGGCACTTCCCCTTCGACATGGCGTGACGGCTTATGTCTCTTGTCGTATTCGTTCTCCGTATGCCGAGCGAGGACTTGTCGCACGTCACCTCCGGGAATATCTTCAAGTCTATAGTTCAGGTCACCAAACCAAAAGGCAAAATCTTCTCCCCCAATAGTATCCCCAGGGTCCTCTCTCAGGCCCTTGTCTGGGTCAATGGGGTCAAATCTGGCGCGTCCAACAATCTGAGATGCATCCCAATTGCGCCGTTCCAAGCTACTTTTATCCGAGCCAGCGGAAAGATGCGAGTTGATAAACACAAGACAAGTCGTTTCACCGAGCATCAGTCGCGTTGCTACAGCACCTTTATTGCCCATGTAGCCCAAAAGTCCCGTACCGACGTTGGTGGAGCTGACCGAAGATATGCTCTCGACAACGCAAGGAGCCGCATAAATCAAAAGCATGAGTCCCACCAGCTGAGTCTCCGAAACGAGCTGAAACCCCTCTGGCAGGGCTTTCTCAAGCGCCGCCTTCCATTTGTTTGACGGTCCTGGATCAACGTATGGCCTCAATGCCTCCGCAGCCGACGAGACATCAACAACCTCTTGCAATCCTAGCACGTAGAGTCCTACTTTCTCCGGTTCGTACGGAGGGAGTTTAAGAAACCCTTTGCGTTTCGGCTGTCCGACCTGAGCATCTTTCGAAGCGTCGTCCCCGGACCCCCAATCGGTCCCGTCGGACATATCTCGGGGATCCTGCAGCTTCAGACCAGAGAGCTGTTCACATATACCCTTTCGTTCCACGAACCATTTTCCAATATCTTCCTCCGTGCCTCGGATAGCTGCCACATTCCAAGTGCCGACCTTGACGCGGAGCGTTTGTTCGCGGGTGTACTCCGACTTTCTCGCTTTGACGGCCTTCGGAAGCGCAAACGGATCATGACGCTCATCGGGATGGCGACTGGAGGAGCTGCTGCCACTGTCGCTTTGATACCCACCGGGGATTGAAGACACGGGCGGTTGCGACCCCGACTGATCGCTGTTCGAACTCATGCTGTGAGGATCTGACCGAGACACGGCCCATTATTCGAAAAATGATTTGTATATATTCTGTCTGCTCCCCGCGTATGACTCAAGGGTCCAGGAGTCTACCTCCGAGAGAGGCTCTATTTCCGCAGCGCGAGGTGCAAAGAGAGGTAGGGAAGTAATAGGGGCGTCGCGTGACGGTCTAAGTCATCGGGACTGAATCTTAAAGGCGTCTGGCTGTTGATCAGGAACCGGCGAGTTGTCCCTGCGTCACGCGATGTCTAGCGGGAATGCGGGGGTCTGAGTGTGGACGGAGAGAAGAAGGACGACGCAGCGGCGATGGGATCGATGGCGGCAGGAGGTCGATACGAATGACGACAGGCGATGGCAAGAAGGCAATTGAAGCGGACCTTGGATGGCGGAACTATAATTCTGTCCAGAAAAAGGTCGCTTTATAACAACATTTTAGAAATATGCGATTTGATGCTTTTTTGTCTCCAATACAGCAGAATAGCGCGTAGAATTGATCAGGAATATTTGAAGCGTAGGTGCTCCGCTTGAGCGTGCGCGGGGTGAGCATTCTTTATCTTCTCCATCAACGTCACCAGTATTCCGCATCCAACAATCTCCTCGATTAGCTGCGTCTACCCCTTCCTCCACCACATCTTGAAGTGATATATTCCCGATTCTCTATAACAAACGAGTCAACAGTGGACAACTGTATGAGTAATCCCCTCCACTACACATATTCTCACAATGACGACCCGCAAACCCCGACGAACGAACAATGGCAATGGCAACAATCATCGTCACAATCACCATGGCACGCAACCCTCCGACTATGAGTCCGACTACCCAAACTACTTTTCCGACACGCAACAACAGCAAGATCAGCACATGCCTCCCCCGCCGTTACGCTCCAACGAGGAGCTGAATCTCTCCGTCCTCCGCCGCCATAACCCATCTGTGAACTCGATTTTGTCTCTCGCTCCATACGCAGTGGTGTACTTGTTCAACCCGACATCCCGACAGTGGGAAAAGAGCGGTGTGGAGGGGTCACTGTTTGTCTGCCAACTATCTCAAGGAAGTCTAGGGGAGGAACGATACAGCGTCTTCGTGTTGAACCGACGCGGCCTCAACAACTTTGATATTCTGTTGACGGACGGGGACAACGTGGAGCTTACGGAAGAATATGTCATCATCAAATCCGACTACGACCTGGATTCAGACCAAGGCATTCCCAAGAACAATGACTACAATGGTGCTCAGAAGAACGCAAACCCCGCCGACGTCCGTATCTACGGTCT